TGCATAAAACTTTATTTGTACTTTGTGAAAAAAAAATTGTTAAGTCACATTTCTTTGATAATTATCATGACAGGGTACAATTTTCCAAGATGCTATTACTGTAAATCCATGATAATGTTTGAGGAGCAGGATGGCACCGTTGTGAGAGTGCTCACTTCCCACCCATGTGGCCCGGGTTTGACTTTGATTCCAGCCAGGTTCCATAAATTATGGGGTCAAGTTTGTTGTTGGTTCTTGCCTTGCTCCGAGGGTTTTTCAAAATTTCAATTCAATCAGGATAGAGGACCTGCATGAAAATCAGATAAGGCTGATGTGGCTTCCTTAGTAATTTTTTTTAATTTTTTTTATTTCTGGATTACGATTATTAATGGTTATGCCCTGTGGGGATTACTGGTATGTGAATTTCAACAGTTTTCCCTCAGAGGACAGCAGGAGGGGATGACTGTAAAATGTACTGATTTAAATAGAAAGCCAGCAGAGAAATGTAGTTAGCAAACTTGTAGTTCTAAATTATGTCAGCATTTTTCCATAGTACCAAAATAAAGAAGGTGGGTCGGGGAGAGAGGGAAGGTTGGGGGGGAGGGGAAGGGGTTGGGATATTGTTAATGATGTATTAGGTTTTTGAAGTGCACGAGTTTGTTAACTGAGTGAATTAAGATATGAATGAAGATTTAGTCACACATAATTTTACATTTTCTTATTTAGGGTGTCTCAGGAAATGCAAACGAAGAGTTAAGCCCAGAAAAGCTTGTTGAGAAGCAGCGTATTGTGATCGAGGAACTGAAGTAAGTCTCTCTTTAGTATTATTTTGTAAATGCTCTTTCCTGTTTATTTTGAAATCTCAATGAAAATCTTGTCTTCTACAATAAACGAAAGACTAAATTTGTCTGAAATGACATTTAAAGCTAAATTAAAGTATGAGTTCATAAACTGAGTGGCAGCATTATTTAAAGCACAATAAAAAATTAAACTACTTTATTATAATTTTTAAAGTTATAAATAAATGTGTAAAATCATAAAAAAATAAATTGATAATTTTTGCTCATTTCATTAAACTTAAAAAATAAACTGAGGAACTTTGAACATTTGAATTTTGTTCTTTTGCATGATTGTACAGATTATGCAAGGTTTTGCAATGCATGAGTATGTAGGTTGACATGACTGTGCTAAACTTGTGTAAATAATAAAGTACTTCAATTTATTTGAATCTAGGCAGACAAATAAAATTATTATCTACAGTAACATGATTGTATACTATAAATATACAACTTTGTCACAGAGCCAATTTGAAATGGTCACAAGTATCGCATTTGCACATACACATGTGTTGTATGTATTGAATTTGTTAGGTTTACTTTAGTTAGTAATTACTGTACAAGCATTCATGGGTCCCATGATGAGATCTGAACCTAACTTTTGAACCCTTAATAAGCAGTGCTCAACGGACAGTGGCTTGTGAACTGGTGTTACTGGGCATGAGACTAGCAGCAACAGATATACGGTATAGCCTTGAGTGTAAAATGTGTAAACTTGGGAATATTTTAGGTGGTACATGTGTATCATTCCAGGAGGTTAATATGTTTTATATTGACCTTCCAACGTGGGCCAATCTGTTTCAACTGGAAGATACAGTAGCTTTCATATTCATATACTGTAAACAATATAAAACAATCTGAATTAATTCATGAGAAATGCTAATGAATGAATTCCAAAAAATATAACAATATACATGCAACTAGATTGTTATGTCTGACTTAGTTTAACACAGATTAGCTGAGGGTGACTGCAAACTAAACTTAAAATTAATCTGATCTTCATGTACAACAGCTACACCGAAGCACTTATGAAAGCTAATATGCCTGAGTTATTTCTTGTCCAGATGATCACACTTGACGGATTGAACTAAGAAATGAGATTAGGTAACAAGTGCAGTGTTGATAAAGGAAAAGCTCCCAACAACAATGTGCCGTCAAGTTTTGAAGATTTTTGACATTGTTCAAAAGTGACAGAATTTTGGCATGTGACTTTCTGATGTTTTTTTTTTGTCCTGTTTGCTTTCATTTTCAACAAATAATGATGACAAAAAACTTTAGATTTAATTTCCTAGTGGCTTTCTTTGCAATTCTTTTCTTGAAACCCTTGAAACAAACAAAAGCTGTTGTTTCTCCAAACAAAGAAATCAGCTTTATTTACATGGGTCTCACTGGGCCGTCTCACTGCAGTGTACCATTGAATATTCTCTAAACTGTAATTTAAATACAATCTTAACAAATTAGTATTTCATAAACTGATTTATTTAAGATAAAAGATAAATTCTTTCTGCCTCTACATGTGGTCAGTAATAAACTGATTTCAAGTTCTCTAATTCCCTTTTAACCTGATGGTGAGGACACTTGAACTATCAACACTTGACTTTCTTTGGTACACAGTTTTTAGTGACCATAGATAGAATAAGTGTGTTTTGTATTAACAAGAGTATCAAGAATTTCTACTTCGTCAAAACACTAATCTTGTACATAATATAAAAAGCCTTCACTCTAGAGTCACAAAAAATGTAAAATAAAAACTGTGAAGTGTCCATGGTTCAAGTGTCCTTACTGTAAATCTTTTGATTGTTAAATGATATTACAATGCCATTATTAAATTTCTTCTTTAAAAAATAAATGTAAAACTGTTGACATGATATTAAACTAAAAACATGTCAAATAAGATATGATTTATTATTAAGTCTAAAAAACTAAATTTTCTATTCATAAACAGATTTTCTTTTAATTTGCAAACGACCATGAAGCAAGAAGTTTAATTCAATTAATACAGTTGCTGGAAATATAATTGACATTGCAATACACGGTCTATTACTGACACATGTATATAAGTTTACTATCTTCAATAACTATAGTTTTATTGGTGTATACAGTAAACTTGTACAATTATGGTAATTTCCTCATTTTATCTAGGGCAAAAATGGGTCTCAATCTAGAGGGAATAGAGAAGTTAAGGTGAGAACAATTTCTGAATGATAATTGAAAAATTAATCAAATCTTTTGTGGTCAATACAGGTTTACACAAATTATTGCTAACAATATTTCTCTTCATTTTAGCGATGATGATGTGCGGAAAAATGTTGATAATGCAATAGGGGAGGTAGGGAAGCTTTATTCATTATAAATTTTGAATGTTCACCTAGCTACACTGTACAAATCTAAGTACTGACAGGATATTTTAAACTGCATGTTTTCTGTTGGTAATTTTCACTGTATATATTGCAGTATTTATAGGGCTAGGGTAATTTTATAAATTGGTTAACATAGTTGACACTTTAATGGCGTTAATGCAGTTCTTGAAAAAACACTGCTTACAGGATTACAATTTGGGTAAAACATTTCTTTGCATCTCTGCTTTGATCTGTTATTTTTCTTGTGTTGTTCTCACAAGGAAACAACTTCTTCAGTGATGTACATGTACATGTAACCACCACTAGTATTGAAGCTGTGACTGTGAAAAGTTGCATGATACATTTCATGAAAATTATATTTTATAGCAACAGTTTTGAAAATTAAACAATAAGTCAGGCCAAAATCAATAATGTGAAATTTACTCCATTGCGTTGTAAATGTCCTTTTCTGTAATATTGGTGAAGTCGTGTAACAATGTTGCAAAGTAGAAATGATGTTTTATGACCTCTTTTTTTGTTCTTGCTCAACAGCTCATGCATCCTGTCAAGACAAAGGTATTATTGAAACCTCTCTACATGTACATTACATAGTTGTTTTGCTGTGGAGTGTTTATGTGAGCCTGCCAACATGTGCAACATGTCTTATTTTTGATGACTTTGGGGGAGGGCAGAGGGAGGGAGCAGGAACCAATGGACCTTTTCTGGGATATGGTGGCCATTTAGAATTCTGTTGTTTAAACTGGCTATTATGGGATGCTTAGGGGGCAAATACATAATAATTTGCCCCTGANCCCTCAAGCATCCCATAATAGCTATTTGAAACAACAGAATTCAAAATGGCGGCCGTAAATGGTGTTTATTAAGTTCAACTACACTCTTACACTTTGGTCAAAAAAGTAACCTTGAAGTTTGATGTTTTGTTTTTATGTAGAGAGCTACATGTACTAACATGTAGGTAAGCAGCTAGGCATGATATTGACTTATAGACCTGTTAATAATTTTATATGGTATATACAGACCTGTATAAATGTTGCCATTAAATCAATAATTCTTAAAATAAGCTGTAATGATAATGGTAAGACCTTTACTTTACAGGAGGAGCTTGTTAAACAACTCACAACTCAAATTGCGGATCTGGAGAGATTTGTCACATTTTTGCAGGGTTTGTCTTGGTGTTATAAACCTGAAAAAGAAGTTTTAAACACTATACTTATATCTGAGTTCTGAATTCTTTATTTTGTGTATGCTAAGCTGATACTCTTTACAAGTGTATGGTCTATCAATTGATAATGTTGTTACTTGTAGTTAAAGAGACACTGTCACAAAATATTTGCCTGAAACTGTTATAAATTCATGAAATGGTCCCTAAATTTATGTAATAAGAACTTAATTAGCTCTAACTAAATGATTAAAAGCAATTTCTCGAAGAAAGCGCACACTGCAGGAACATTTTTGCAAAATTTCAATGAATTTCGAACCAAACTTGAACCTTTGAAAAACTGACATCCTGACGCTTTTTCAAAAATCCATATCACAGTTTCCGTTTCCATCCTTGCTATCATTATTAGCCATCCTCATTTCGTAATGGGTTTTAATCATTTGTCGAGTACTACTCTACCAAATAAAACCATTATTGTTCAGCGTTCAAAGATCGTTACATGTTTTTGAGATTTCCAAAATCATGCTAAAAATGGTGATAGTGTCCCTTTAATTGAGTAATTAAATAATTTCCATCATTCTTGGTTACACAAGTATAAGTCACTCTTAAAATAAGTATTTTCAAAATTAGTGTAATTATTTACAGGTGTGTGTTATATTGATCATACCTGTTCAGTTGTTTTGAGAGGCATTGAAAGTGTTATTGTTGACACAATGAGTTTCATACAATGCAGACTGTAATACACTGTCACAAAGTTGAATGGTATTTTTTGACAGTTATGTTATTTCTTTATAGGTGAAGTGGAAAATGCTGAAGAACGCACAGAGCGAGCCAAAGCATGCCCTTGCCCTGTGCATGCCAGAAGAGGCAGAAAAATACCAAAGGATCGTCTGAGGGTACAGTTTGCATTAAACCAAACTTCAACATCATGCAGTACATATTTTTAAGTCAGTAGTAACCAGCTATACGGTAATTAGGGGTCTTGATCGGCCTGACCACATGAAACACACGCATTATGCAAAGTCAGGGTTTGGGGGTTAACAGTGCTTGTATATTATTGTATAATAAGTAGTGAGATTGACATGTGGGAGAGGTCCCCCCCCCCCCGCTAAATAATAAAATGCAATAACAACTTTTGAGAATACCCAGTCGTACATGATTTAAAGTGCTCAACTTACTCCTAGAACTTGTATTGCTGAATGTCTGAGTAGAAACAAACTCTTGATTGTGAAGTGAAGATTGTGCATTCACTTCTTTTTTGTTGTTCTGCATAGGGTAAAGGTGGCTCCCATAGATCAGTGGAATATTCATCGGACAGTGTTAATGAGCTGGATTACGCATGTGACTACAGCTTAACAGAGGACATGTCTGGCAGTGACGACGGGAATGGGTGCTGTCTTCATGTGTCGCCTATCCCAGAAACACCTGATGAGATCCGCAGTAAGGTATGAATGAGCTTTGTGCAGTTTCATAGTAACTGTCACTGTTGGGTGTTCTACTAAATGTTACAATTCACAGAGCCACTGACGTTCTAGCAAACTTGCCACTGATTTGACTGTGTACAATCAGGACAACAATGCTAAATCCACTGATACTTAGTATATAAAGACATTTATTGTTATCTCAGTCTCAGTCATTAAACTAATTATTGCTCATACAACTAAGAGAACATGGTTGGAGAAGGTTGTCTTAAAATGTG